GGCAGGGGCCGGGGCCAGGGGTGGGGGCAGAGGAAAGCCAACCGGCCAGGAATAATGAAGGCGGAGGAAGTGCTGACTGGGCCAGAAAGGAGAGGCCTCTGGGCTCTGAGCCCCTTGCAAAGGGGCTCCAAGAGGGGGGAGCAGGTCTCATGGCCCCTTCCTCCCACCCTTCCCTCCTTCCGGGGTCTGCCGGGGTGGGGGGCTGAACCCACCGGGGGACTTGGGTGCCCTTAGTCCAGGGACCCGTGGTCCTGCCTGCGTGGTGCTGGCGGGGCCTCGCCTTTTCCATAAGCCTTGGGATCTCTCATCCGTCTGTCACCTTCCGAGCCACCCTCCCCCACCAGCCCCACGAAGTTCTTTCCACCTCCCAGCCCTGGCTGTGCTCGTCCCTCCCTCTCATCCCTTCAGTGGCTCCCTTTGAGGTCTTCCACATTCAGGCTGTTTCCCCATCAGTTCCAGCCCTTGGCAGTGTTGATGCCCCTGCCTGGACACCCTACTCTACCTGACACCAGGCTCTTACCCCTCCCCACCCAGGCAGGGCCCTGGATGCGCCCCCCGACCCCCAGGTTCCTCCACAGCCCCAGACCCACTCTCTCTGGGTCCCAAGCGGGGCCTGCTGGCCAAGGGGGGTGGTGACCAAAGGTGCCCCCCTCCCCGGCACCTTGGTTTCCCTCCCCTTGCAGGCCACTGGCTCCGGGTGGTCCCCCATCGCCCCATGCAGGGGTTGACAATGGGGTGGGGGGGAGGCTGGGAAGGGTTAAGGGGCCAGGGCCCCCTCCCTGTCACTTTTATTAGCTTTGCTTTCTGCAGCAATTAGGACATTCCCAGCCTCCAGCGGGGAGGGCTGTCAGGTGGGGGTGGGAGAGGAAACGCCTGGCTCCCTGAGCACCGGGGGGCAGGGGTGTCTAGGCCGGGACAGAACCCAAAACCCAAGGCGGGGAATCCTGGGGCCACCCCAGCTCGGTGGGTGACCCTGACCAAGTGACCCCCTCTGTCTGGATCCTGGCTGGGGCTCTGTAAAGCAGGACACATATTTTGGGTGTGCGAGGGTGTGTGGGGTGGTTTTGGCCTTTCAGTGCCCCTTCTGGATAAAATTGGTCCCCTAACGCTCCAGACCCTTCAAAGACTCCCAGGAGGTGCCCAAGGCCAGAAGAAGAGACTGAGGTTCAGAGCTCCCCCCAGTTAGCGCTGGTGCCCTGACCCCAGCACCCCCAACTAAAGTCTGGGCAGGGAGGGAGGGGGATAGCCAGGTCCTGCCCACCCAATCTTTCCCCCTGAGCTGCCAGCAGCAACCTGGCCAGCCTCAGATGGTCGCCAGGGGTCCAGGCTGGGGTGGATGGTCAGCGTGGCTGATTCTGGTCTCATCCTCGTCTCCGGGGATGTGGCTACCACTCCACCGCCTCCCCACGCCTCCCCACGAACTCCACTGCGGGGGACCCTCCCAAAGTGGCTTGAGGATCCGAACCTGACCCCTGGGGACCCCACAAATCCCCATACTCTATGGCTCTGGGGATTTGGAGATGCTGGGGAGCCCTGAAGAGGTTTCTCTGTGTGTCTGGGCCTCAGTGGGCCTGCAGCAGCTGGTGATGCCCTCTGGCTGTTTTATATCCCGTGACCCCCTCCCCAACATGCACCAGGGAGCACGGCTCCGGGGTCCAGCCACCACCCTTGAACACTCCCTGCCAACACACTCCCGGCTTGCACGCAACACAGATGTGGACCCCGGCCCAAAGGCGGGTGTCGGGGACACGTGGGCAGGGGCTCAGGCCACCTCCCACCCCGAGAGGAGCTGGGAGCCATGAGTCTCAGTTCCAGACCCATCAAGGCTCTGCCCTGCACTGCCGTGCAGCCTCAGGCAACTCACTCCTCCTCTCTGAGCCTCCTTGTCTCGTCCTCAGCCAGCCTCACGCCCCCCACCCTGGTGCACACTCAGCTGCAGTGATGCTAACCCTGCCTCTGCCGCCCCACTCCCACTTCGCAGGCTGGAGCCAGGGGCGGGGGCTTGCATGTCCTACCAGGAGGCCCCGCCCCCTGCCATGGGCTGCCTCAGTTTCCCACCTGCCCCTGGTGTCCTGGGGTCCTCTGGCACCCCCTACCCTCCCTCTCCTGTGGTCCCTCCCTCCGGCCGGCGTGGGAGGGGATGAAGGCTGGGGGGTTGAAAGCCTGGGCTGATGCGCTGTGTGATCCTGGGCAAATCCCCTTGCCTCTGCGAGCCTCAGTCTTCCCATAGGTACAAATGGGGCCAGGGCGGTGAAAATCCCAGCCCCACAGCAGCTCTGCCAGGAGTGTCCCCTGGCAGGATGTGGGGCCATACCACGTCCCCGGGTGTGGGCTCGAGGCCCTGGAAGGGGCTGGGAGGCTGGCCACCGTGCCAGGGGTGCGGCTGGCGGGAGTGGCACGGGACCCAGCAGGCCGGCCTCTCCCTGCGCGCCCAGGCCGGCCCCTCTGCCCTGCCCCTCCCACCCCCCCACCAGCCGGCCTCTTGGCCCCTACCTGTGCCTGATAAATGCCCGTTGGATCCCTTGGTCCTAATCCCACAAAGGAACGGTTTGCAGGGGACGTGCCGGGCGTAGAGTAGGCTGCGGGGAGGAGAGAGACCGAAAGCCCGTTAGCGCGGGGGTGACGCAGGAGCACCAGAGAGGGTGGCCGCTGCCCAGGGTCACACAGCCGGGCCTTCATACCCAGCAGCCGGTGCCTCCGAGCTTGCCGCCCTCCCCCGATGGTCCAGGCACCCCGAAAAGCCCACGGTCTCGGGCCCCTGGGGTCACGCGGGCAGGTGTCTGCTGAGAGGGAAGGCGCAGGACGAAAGTTTCATAATCCAGAAACCGCCTGTGAATTATTCAGAGTTCCACTGCCTGGTTCATCCTGCTCCTGCGGCCTGCATCCCGCCGCGTGGGGGGCCATGAATTATTGAGGGCGTTTTATTTATTAATTTCCCTCCTGGAGAGGGCATGGGGAAGGCTGCGTGTGTGCACATATATATATGATTATATTTTAATCGCACTATGTTTTGCCGGTGAGTGAATGATTTGCAACCCAGGCTGGGGAGGGGACGGGGCTGGCGGGAGGGTCCCCATGTGGTCTCCACCAGAGCGCAGATAAGTGGGAGGTGGTGAGGCTTGGGGGATTTGGGGGGGTGGGCTGGGAAGCAGCCTGCACCTGCAGTTCAGGAGCCGGTGCAGGGGAAGGAGAAGAAATCCATGTTTCTCCCTCGTCTATTAAGCATCACTGTAAGCCAGGCACTGGGCAGCATCCCATTTTAACCCTCGGCAGCCTCAACGCGGCAGACGTGAACATTATGCCCATTTCACAGATGAGAAAGCAGGGAGAGTAGGTGAAGACCAGCGCCGCATGCCGACTCTGTCCTCTGCACCCGGCCTCCCGCTAAATGTTCTCCCTGATCTATTGCACTGACTCACTCGCCACCACCCTCTGGTGACTCTCCCATTTTGCGGCTGAGAAAACTGAGGCTCAGAGAGGGGAGGACGTTTGCCTAAGGTTACACAGGGAGCGAGATGCAGGGGCAGGATTGCAACCCAGGGCCCTGCGCTCCATCATGGTGTTTGGAGAAAGCCCGTCTGCACGTGAAGCTGCCCCGGGTCTTGGCAGGCAGCGGATGCTGGGGAAGAAATACTGAGGTGCTGCATGCGGGGAGGGGGGCCGATGGGGCCCAGATGGGAGGGCTGACCCCTCCTGCTTGGGTGGGGTGAGGAATCTCATCTGGGGAGAGAGGGAGAGACACCCAAAGAGGAAGGGGATTTAGGGAGAGGCTGGGTGCAGAGCCACCACTGATGGGGTAGATAGACCCCAGGATGGGAATTCTAGGAACCTCTTCCCAGCCTGAAGCAGCCCTGGACTGGGGTGGGGGGTGGCGGGGGTGGGGGGAGGTGCCCTGGGGGCTGGTGAGCCGTAATCTGGAGCCACATCCAGAGGGTGGCAAGTTCTAGAAGGTTAGGAGACCAAGCCAGGGCCTCTCACCACCTGGACCCACATCCAGAGAGCAGAAAGTGGTAGAAGGCGAGGCAGCCAACCCAGGGCCTCCTGGGGTCAGGTGGGCAGGCAGGGTGTGTCCTGTCTAAAGATGTGGCCCAGCCCAGGTTACCAGCAGGAACAGGGCCCACTGGGGCCAGTTTCCCCGGAGAATCCGGAACTCTGGAATTTCTATGTGAGATGTCCTGATTTTAAAACCACCATCACCACAGCAGGTTCTCATTTTCCTCAGACAAAAGGCTTCTGGGGGCCGGGTCGGGCCCTCCCACCTCCAGTTTGAGATCTTCACTTACTGCCAGCTGCTTGTTGCATGGAAGAGGGCTTAGAGGCCCAGAGGCGGGACACAGGGGCCCCAGGCCACTCGGCCAATGGGGTCGGACCCAAGACTTGCCCCTGGCCATCCCCTCAGGCTGCCTTGGCCCTGTGTGGACCTGACCACGTGGGCCCCAGGCCTCCATCTGGGGACCCACCAAACTCGCCGGTACCCACCGGGCTGGGCCTGAGACCCCGACCCCAGAGGCAGGGCCGGGGAGGGGAGGGGCCCCTCGGGGACGCCTTCCCGGGTGCTTACAGGGCGAGGTCGGCGACGAGCTTCCTCCCTCGGAGGTGGGTTTGGTGGCGGGGGGGAGCGCCAGCCGCGGCAGCCCGGGGGGCGGGGGTGCCAGCATCTGAGCAGAAATGCAGTGACTGGACATTTTGAGCTGGCCACTTCCATTTAACTGGGGGGAACAGAGAGACAGGTGGTTAAGGCGGCGGGCGCCCCCTCCGCCTCGGGCTGCCGTCCACCCCGGGGCTGTGGACCGGCCTGGTGGGCACGGCCGGGACGAGTTTGGTGGGTGCCCGGTGCTCACCTGACCCCGCAGGCCTCCAGCATCCTGGGATCGCCATGCCTTCCCTGCCTCCTCAGGCTACTGTGTACCCACTGGCTTTCCTTCCACGCCTCCTAAACAGCATCGCTGGACCTCATGGGCAGCCTAGACGCACCTCCCCGCATTTGCCGCGAGTACGCATTCATTCATCCACCACCTCGCCCGCGGTTCCCAGATCTGAAAGGCTCCGAACACCAAAAGCTTTGGTGGAAGTCTGGCCAGAGGTGGCCTGAGCTCAGCCGTAACCGTGTTTGATTTGGGGGCTTCCTAGAATACCGTCTGCTCAGACATCTGAAAAAGCCTGAATTCCCACCCGGTCTGGCTCCAGGGGCTGTGGACCCCGCCGTTTGTAAAATAGAAGCTGCCCTGGCGGAGGAAGGGTTGCCTGACACTCGCGCCAGGGCCCCAGGGAGGTCGTGCCCCCCCAAACTCACCGGTCCAGGTTGCTGACTGGCCGGATCGCAGGCCAGCGACACAAGATCTTTGAGCGGGTCCTGGGGGTTGAGGTGAGGTGGGTAGCGGATGGCCGTGTGCGGGAAGTAGGTGGAGGCCGTCTGGGGCAGGATGGACGTGGTGGGGAAGTGCAGGGCCGAGGACGGGTGAGGGCTCCGGGCGATCCCTGTGGAGAGGAGGGGGGCAGTGGTCACCAGGGCATCCCGCCAGGCCGCCCTGTCTCCAAGTGACTGTGTTTGTGGGTGTGCGTCACGCCCACGCTGCGGCACCTTTAATAATACGAATATGTGGAGACCCAGTGGCATCTGCCATGACCAGGCCCTGCTGTCATTTATACGCCCAGATTCGATGAATCTACTGTGACCCCACAAGAGTTCTGGCATCACCCCTTCGAGCACTTTTATTTATTTTTATTTTTTTAAATTTATTTATTTTTGGCTTGCAGGATCTTAGTTCCCCAACCAGGGACTGAACCTGGGCCGTCGGCAGTGAAACTGCTGAGTCCTAACTACTGGACCGCCAGGGAATTCCCATTGTGTCTTTTTTAAAGACAGAGGATGGGGGCTTCCCTGGTGGCGCAGTGGTTGAGAGTCTGCCTGCTAATGCAGGGGACACGGGTTCGAGCCCTGGTCTGGGAGGATCCCACATGCCGCGGAGCAACTAGGCCCGTGAGCCACAATTACTGAGCCTGCGCGTCTGGAGCCTGTGCTCCACAACAAGAGAGGACGCGATAGTGAGAGGCCCGCACACCGCGATGAAGAGGGGCCCCACTTGCCACAACTAGAGAAAGCCCTCGCACAGAAACGAAGACCCAACACAGCCCAAAATAAATAAGTTAATTAATTAATTAATTTAAAAAAAATCAGAGAGTACATTTCCCGGCTGTGGTCAGAGGAAGTCCTGACTACTGAATTAAAAAAAAAAAAAAAGACAGAGGATGACCGTGGCTCTCAGAGGGAATGTCCTCTGCCCCAGCCACAGAGCAAGCAGGTGGCAGACCCGGGGTTCGAGCCCAGCCTGACTGGCCACACCCTGACCCGGGGCTCGGCTAGCTCTTTCCATAAATGGCTGGTGGGTCAATATTTTTTTTAAATTGAGATATTATTTGCACACTATAAAATCCATGCTTCTAAAGTGTACAATTCACTGTGTTTTTTTAGCACATTCACAGAGCTGTATGACCATCACTACAATCTCTTTTAGAACATTCTCATCCCCCTGAAAGGAAACCCCGTCCCCATTAGCACCACCCCCATCCCCTCCCCCAGCCCCTGACAACCAGGAAGCCACTCTCTGTCTGTGGATTTCCCAACAATGGAATCACCCACGGTGTGTCCTTCTGTGTCTGGCTTCTCTCACTGAACATTGTGGTCTCACGGTCCATCCACGTTGTAGCGAGTGTCCGTGCTTCACCCCTTTTCATGGCTGAGTAATATTCCAGTGTGGTATTTGCTTTTTTTTTTCCTTTTTCTAAACAAGTCAGTGACTTTTAGTATATTCACTTCGTAATTCCAGAACCAGTTCACTGCCCCCAAAAGAAGCCCTGTGTCCACTAGTGGTCACTCCCCCTTCCTCTCTCTCTCTAGCCCCTGGCCAGACAGTAAATACTTTTGGCTTTCCAGGCCATAGGGTCTCTGATGCAGCTACTCAACTCTGCCCTTGTTGCCTGAAAGCCACCACAGATGACATGTAGACAGATGGGCATGGCCCTCTGCCAATAAAACTTTATTTACAAGAACGGTGGCAATTGGGGGGCCTGCTTGGCCGGCTCCTAGTGTAAACTGTTGTGCTATTTTGATGTTTGCCTCTGCCCTGTATGTGTATTTGCCCTTGTATGGAACTAAATCACCATTATCACAACCAAGGGGCAACAGGTGACATTCAAGCTCTTATTTAACTTATTCTGATTTAATTCATTCGGTCCTATGGACAGCCCTGGGAGGGGGACGTTTATGAGCCCAGTGGACGGGTGACGGGCTCAGCTCACACCCCACGCTGTGAGCGTGGTGCTTCCTGTCTGTGTGGCTGAGAGCTCCCGTACCCCTGTGTGGCCTGTGTGTGTCCTTCTGGGTGTCTGCCTCCTACCGTAGCCATTCCGCCCCGGGGTCTGTCGGTGGGCCGCTTGAGTATGACACATGGGGAGCAGGTTGAGGGGTGAGTCCCGGGCTGCACCTCCATGTACAGAAGGGGAAACTGAGGCCCCAAAAGAGTCAGGCCTAGGTGGTCTCTTACCATGGCACCTGCAGGCTTTCCTGCCCGGGTGGGAGGCTACAGCAATAGGACTCGTGGTCAGACGGCCGGTGGGACTTCCCCGGCCATAAGTGGCCTGGTTAGAGGGCTCAGCTGCCCCTCCCCGCCAGGGGCCCGCGGTGCTCACCACTGTGCACGGCGATGACGGGCCGGTGGTGCTGGGTGAAGCTGGAGAGGCGGGGCGAGTCCTGGGGAGACGGACTGTTGAAAGGGGACTTGTCCATCTCTGTTTTCTTCACCGGGGATGAGATGCCTGCAGGGAGGGCCAGAGGGTCAAGGGCCGGCAGGCAGGGTTGTTCCACTCCCAGGACCCCTGCACCTCCCCGCAGAGCCCCTGCCCCCGCTTCTCCCAGCAACCCATGGACGAGGGGCTGGGAGCCCATTGTAAGGAGGGGCAAACCAAGGCTGAGAGCTGGGAAGGGGGCCGCCCAGGGTCACACGGCCCACGGGAGGAGGAGTCTGACGCCACACGGGCCCCTGGACGACAGAGTCCGGCCCCCACCTTCTCTCCTTCCACACATAAGTCGGCTCAGGGCTGCCCCCTGCCCCCCAGGGACACCAGAGCCCTGGAGAAGGCCGCAGGGTGGGCAGAGGATTGGTCCACAGCCCCAAAGCCCAAGTGGCTCTGTGCTTGTGCCCCCCCACCGATCCTTACCTGGGGGACAGAACCTTCCCTATAGGGTCATCTTGAGTATTAAATGCAATACAACATGTAAAGCCATTAGATCAGGGCCTGGCACACACCCATGCACTAGAATTACTTGCTGCCATTCCTCTGCAGATGGGGGTCTCACTATCTACCCCAGTGGCCCTGGGGAACCCAGAAGGTCTCCAGCTCGGCCTCAATGAATAAAAGGTGTAAAATGGGCACATACAGACTCCGTGGAGGCCGTGGCACAGAGTGGACACTGGCTCAGGAGGAGCCTTGTCATGACATGGAAGACGGACCCCAGAGATGCGGGGCACATGTCCGCCCTGAAGAACCATGAATGCCCCCCGCCTGCCTCCCTGCATCCCACCCCCCACTCCCACCCCCCTCTGCAGAGGCTTTTTCTAGTGACAGCAAAGGATGACGACGTGTCTGAAAAAAGGCAGAGTCCTTGGCCTGGCCCCTTCTCTGGAATTGGGCTCTGGGGGAAGTGGGGATCTGGAGATAGACATGTTTAGGAATTGTTTTAAAATCCATTTTACAGTGAAACACACCCACTGAGGCCCACAGTGGATTCACACATGGTGAGGGTTGTTTTTTTTTTTTTAAATAGTTTTTATTGGAGTCTAGTTGATTTACAATGCTGGTTAGAGGGCTAACAAACTTCAGGTGCACAGCAAAGTGAACCAGTTATACACATACATATATCCCCTCTTTTTTAGATTCCTTTCCCACATAGGTCACCACAGAGTACTAAGTAGAGTTCCCTGTGCTACACGGCAGGTCCCTATTAGCCAGGTTTTTTTCTTTCTTTCTTTTTTTTGCGGTACGCGGGCCTCTCACTGCCGTGGCCTCTCCCGTTGCGGAGCACAGGCTCCGGACGCGCAGGCTCAGCGGCCATGGCTCACGGGCCCAGGCGCTCCGCGGCATGTGGGATCTTCCCGGACCGGGGCGCGAACCCGTGTCCCCTGCATCGGCAGGCGGACTCTCAACCACTGCGCCACCAGGGAAGCCCTTAGCCAGGTACTTTATACAGAGTAGTGTGTATATGTCAATCCCAATCTCCCAATTTATCCCTCCCTCTCCCTTGCCCCCTGGCAACCATAAGATTCTTTCCTACATCTGTGACTCTACTTCTGTTTTGTAAATAAGTTTGTTTGTACCATTTTTTTTTAAGATGCCACACATAAGCGATATCATGTGATACTTGTCTTTCTCTGACTTACTTCACCCAGTATGACAGTCTCTAGGGACACACTGCCTGCCACCCCGCAAAAGGTGGCCTCTCAGGCTGCACACATCAGGGCCGGGGTCATTCTCTGTGGGTCGTCCTCGGCGCCATGGGGTGTGGTGCAGCCTCCCTGGCTCCACCCACTCGACGCCAGGAGCACCCCCAGTCATGACAACCATAGATGTCCCCAGACACGGCTCAGTCTCCCCTGGGGCAGAGCCGCCCCAGTTAGGACCCCCGTCCTCCTCCGAGGCCCACCACCACTGTTTCTGGGGTCTCGGGTTGATGGTCCTGTGAGTGGACATCTGCGTGGGTCCCCAGGGCTGTCCCACCTGAGATGCTGCTGCATTCCCCCCACAACCTACTGTGGCATTTCCACGTGGGGTGCTTTCATTCTCTGTGATGGCACGGCCAGGGGTGAGCCAGATCTGGGAACCAGCCCCGTGATGGGCACTCAGGCCACCATCTGCTTTTGCTGTTACAGACGCTGCTGCCCTGGTCGGCTCTGGGTGCTCATCAGTGTGTGAGAGGGGGAGCGTGTCCTGGGATGCGATTGGCGGCCCAGTGGGACCTGGCGGCCAAGCGGGGCCTTGGGTGCAGGCCCGGGCTTTCCCAGGGACAGGAGGAGCTGGTGGCATCCAGGGCGGCCGGCAGGGGGGAGGCTGGCCCTGCTGTGTGTGCGTACATGCATGCGTGCATGCGTGCGTGCGTGCGTGTGTGTGTGTGTGTGTTGGGCATGCGTGCATGCACGCGTGCGTGTGTGCGTGCGTGCGTGCGTGCATGTGTGTGTGTTTGTGTTGGGCTCCCAGCTGGCTCAGGGCTGCAGGGGGAATGAGGTTACGGCCATCAGACGCTCACTTAGGATTTCCTAGAACAGCCTGTCCTGGATGGAAATAGCCCGGCGTGGACCCTGCTCCCAGCTGCACCTCCGTAGGCCCTTCTAGAGCTTCCTGAGATGGGGCCTTTGGGAGCCAGGGTCCAGGAGGGGGGCGGGGGGCGCCCAGCGCTGCAAGGAAGAGTCACTCTCCTGCCTGCGTTTCTGCATCTGAACAAACATGCTGGGAACGGCCCCACGTGAGCAACCGATGTTGGTTAACACAGTGCCCGTATATGCCCCATCAAAGCACACGTATCTCCATTTAACAGGCGTGCCCCTGACCTCCCCGATCCGAGTGGCCATCTTTCTGATTAACATACATATCTCCACGTAAGCGTCAAGCACCCCTACGTCCCCCATCGAAGATACAAATCTTAACGGACGCACATGCCTGTAGGTGCCCACCCCCAAGTATCTTTCCACTTGCCTGTCACACGTGCCTGTCTGTCCCCCGTTTAAGCACACACGCTTCATCTAACAGGTGGGCCTGTACATCCCCCATCTGAGCACCCACCCGTCTGCTTGACAAACTAGCCTGTCCCCCTGCAGTGCCAGCTCCCCTGGGGGGCCCACTGCAGGCAACCACTGGGTCTCCAGGGCCCAGAACACAGGGTGGGCAGAGAGTGTGCGGAGTGTACAGGTGGGTGGACGGAGCGCAGTTCTGCTGGGATCGGCCACCACTCACTGGGCACTTACCACGTGGGATGGCCTCCCCCACTACCCCCAGCACTGCTGACACCAGTCATCCTCAGCGGGCCCATCTTGGGCGCTGTGGGGTGTGGAGCAGCGTCCCTGGTCCCACCCACTGGATGCCAGGAGCCCCCCATTCATGATGGCCGGAGACGTCCCGGACACCGCCCAGTGTCCTCTGGGGGCAGAACTGGCCCTCTGGGAGGTCCTGCGGAGCCAAGAAGTGGTGGAGCTGGGATTCAAAGGCAACTCTGTAACTCCTCAGGCCACGCTCTGCCACCCGCTCCTGCCCTCCAAGTTCAGAAAGAGATGTGGGGACAGGAGATTGGAGTTCCCTGCTTCACTCCATATAATAACTGCCGGTGGGAGGCCCATGTCCCCTGGGGGAGGGCCACAGAAGCAGCAAGAGCAAAGCACTCTGGGACCCCCTTTCTGCCCCGCTTGGCTGGGTAATCAGGGAAGGCCTTGGGAGGATGTGGCCAGGAGGAAAAAGGGCACTCCTGGTGCTCCTGGGCCGGGCACGGAAGGGGCAAAGGGCTGGAAGCTGGTGTATGGGGTCTGAGAGATGTGGCTGCAGGGGTCCTGCCTGGGCGGGGCTGGCAAGATTTCCCCCGGGCCTCTGCCCCTCCAGGGCACCGGAGTGAGGAGGCTGGGGCTGGGGGGTTAGCTGGGCGCTGCCCATGGTGGCCACAGCGGAGGAAGGGAGAGAGTACTCTAATCAGCTTAACCCCCTTAATGAACAGCTAATTGGGGACTGTCTAGACAGGAAGCCGGAGGAAGCCAGGAAGAGGAGAAAGAGGAGGAGGCGGACGGGCAGGACGGGAAAAAAGAGGGAGGGAAAAGAGGGGGAGGAAAGGGTAGAATTCATATCTCCCCACGAGCCTGTGAGCACCCGGAAGGCAGGGGCAGGCACACACTGGAGGTTTGCACCGGGACTCCCACAGGAGGGAGTGAGTCTGCCATCACCGGAGGCAACCAATGGGAGCTATAGGAGGACTGACCGACCCCCTCTGGCATTCCCTTCCAGCTCTGTGATTTCCCCATCGCACACCGGAAGCGGGTACAGGCTTCCTCTTCACCCTCCCCCATCATGGCCACTTTATTCTCAGTGTAGGAAGGTTGGATCAAGCCCCAGTGACTCTCTCTAGCATTTCCTTCCTTTTAAAATTTTGTTTTTCTTTTTCGAGCATCCTGAATCGAATGCTGGGTTCTTTATTTCCAGCCTTTCTCTTTTTCCAATTAAAGCTATAATTTTTCCTCTCAGGGCTGCTGTGGCTACATCAGCACAGGCTGCCTTTCAGCTCTAAATAGTATTCACTTTATATGTAGACAACCTCTTCACTCACAGTGTTAGTGAGAGGTGCTTTTGAGTTCCCAATCAGTAGACGATAGGGCAGAAGTTAACTGTCTCCCAATATCTGCTTTATCTTTGTTCCTTAGTAACAGAACCCTGGATGTGAGATGGGCACATAAGTGACCCAGATAAGATTACATTTCCCAGCATCCTTTGCAGCAGAGTATGGCCTTAGGACTAACTCAGGGGCCCAGAGATAAGCAGAAGGGGTAAGTGCATCTTCTGAAAATTATTCTTAAAGGGAGAGGACATGCCCAGGCTTGACCCTTCTTTCCTGCTGGCCGGAAAGCAGACATGATGGCTGGAGCTCCAGCAGTTATCTTGGACCATGAGGTAGGAATGAAAACCACATTCAGTGGCGCATAAGGCAGGAGACTGAGTCCCTCACATCACACTTGCCCAGGGCGGCTGATGGCTGGACATTTATTTGTGAGAGAAATGCACTTCCTTTTGTATTTTCTGTTATCTACAACCCGACTTAAAGCTTACTGAATACAGGTCTTTATAGAGACAAACTTTAGAAAGATAGGGAACCCACAGAGACAGAACCGTAGAGACACTCTGACCCATAAATTAAAGCCTAGGGCTTCCCTGTTGGCGCAGTGGTTGGGAGTCCGCCTGCCGATGCAGGGGACGCGGGTTCGTGCCCCGGTCCGGGAAGATCCCACATGCCGCGGAGCGGCAGGGCCCGTGAGCCATGGCCGCTGAGCCTGCGCGTCCAGAGCCTGTGCTCCGCAACGGGAGAGGCCACAACAGTGAGAGGCCCGCGTACCGCAAAAAAAAAAAAGAGAAGTTAAAGCCTAATAAATAGAGAGGTCCTCCCAGCATTAGATACCTGGAAGCCCACAATGAGGAAGAGGGAGGAGGCTTGGGACCTCAAATGTCACAACCAGCTGTCTTAGAGACCGATTCCAAGAGATGGGAATTTTATAAAGACATGAACACCAAAGAAACTCTCCTGGTCCCTGGTCACTTATGTGCCAGGTGGTTGCTTAAGTCACATTCTATCGTGTCTTCCTTCCGACTCTCCAAAAGAATGATGGTTTTCATCACTCCCACTTTGAAGATGAGGCAACCGAGGCTCAGAGATGTTAAGTCACCTGCCCAAGGTTACACAGCCCACACACCACACAGTGAGCCAAAGACAGAGCCGGGATTTGAACCCGGGTCTCTCTGATGCCTGAACCTGCCCTCTCTCTCTCTCTCTCTCTTTCTTTCTTTTATTGAAGAAGAGTTGATTTACAATAATTCAGGTATACAGCAAAATGTTTCAGTTCCATATATATAAGTATATATGTGTGTGTGTGTGTGTGTGTGTGTGTGTGTGTGTATATATATATATATATATATATATATATATATATATATCAGATTCTTTTCTGTATATAGTGAACCTGCCCTCTTAATTGTAATGTTATGTTGCTTTTCAAGAACCCTATAGGTATGGCACTTTGTATAGACAGATCTTTATAAGAAATCAGACTCTACAGGGAAGAGGGTAAGAGGAGGAGCGGGAGAGAAGAAAACAAATCCTAAGGTATACTGGGTACCTATTATGTGCCAGGCCTGTTTTAGGGACATCAAATGCATTAATTCACTTAATCCCCACAATAAACCTATGGGTTGGGTACTGCAGGTATTAACACCCCCATTTTACAGATGAAGAAGCCGAGGCGCAGAGAGGTGGGGTCACCAGGAAGCTGCAAGGGCTGGGGGACTCGAGTGTCCACGTTCATAACCACTAGGCTATAGGTTGGGGTGAACCCTTGTTAAGGGATAAGGGACCGGGTAGAGACATGCTTCTAAAACTGGGGGGCACAGACCCCGCTGAGAATCTGAGGAGTGCCAGGGGCATCCTCCCCACAGGCTCCTCTGCAAACCATTTCCTTTAAGTGCAACGCTGGCCCACTGAAGAGCAGAATCTTAAGGTGAAAGAGATTTTTTTTTTTTTTTTTTGGCCGCGCGGCACGTCTTGCGTGATCTTAGTTCCCCTACCAGGGATTGAACCCGGGCCACAGCAGTGGTGAAAGCACCGAGTCCTAACCACTGGACCACCAGGGACTTCCCAGAAAGGGATTCTTCTGTGATGGAGATGGAAACTCCAAAGAAGGGAAATCTTTGGAGAATGCCCTTAGGGAGACGGTAAGTAAACAAAGAATCAGGAGGAGCCAGCACTCAACAGAAAAAAACTTCTACGGAACTGCTGACCCTACAGAACAGGAGCCCCATGAAACAGACACTCTGGAGAGGACCCTATGAAGACAGAGGAGCAACAAGAAAATCTACCAGGAAAAGGATGCTATAAGAAAAGAGGCGGGGCTCCTATGGAACTGGACTCACAGAGAGCAAGATCCCATGGAGATGGGAATCTTGCAAAAAAAAAAAAAAAAAAAAAAAAAGGACTCCAGGGAGGACCCCAGTGGAAAGGTAACCCACGTATCAGGACGCTCTAGTTTGAGGGTCTACGGCAGACCCGAGGATGAAGCACCCTGTTGATCAGAATCGCTACTGAGTCAATTCTGTATAGCAGGAACCCCCACAGAGATGGGCCGTTAACAGGCAGAGGGCAGGAGAGTCGGGCAACGGATAATCTCCATCCTCCCCGGCCAGAGCGGAACCAAAGAGCTCCGGGAACGCGAACCCGGACTTTACTTCCAACCGCGCGCAGCCTGCGAGACTACAATTCCCAGGAGGCCCCGCGGCTCCAGGCCGACTCTCCTCCCCGGGGTGCCCGCGCAGTGCCTGCCGGAACACGTAGTCACTGCCGCGGTAACCCAGACCGGAAGGTCAGTCAGCCCCCGCCGCCAGCCCCACCTCCTTCCATGTCCTCCGTCCAGTTGCGGCTGCTACTCGTGGGAGAGCTGGGCGAGGTGTAGTAATCGCCGCCGGGGCTCGTGTCCACGTCTTCCTCCATCGAGCCCGATTTGTGCCGCTTGCTCCTAAGGGGCGAGGAAGGAAGCCAGCAGACCGGTTACCACGGAGACGGGCCCGGCGGGCTTTGCTACTTCCGGCTCTTAGGGGGCAGGGCGAGGAGGGTGCTATCGCGAGACGTCACGAGAGCCGCGGACTTTCGGCTGCTTCTCAGATGACATCCGCTTTAACCTGCCCATCACTTGGGTGGGACACCTGGGGCCAGAGGCAGGGAGGGACTCAGCAGAGGGCCAAGCTAGCAAGCTAGCAGAGTGGAGACTAAAGCCCTCAAAGCCTGGTTGATCGCTTGATCTACTGTAATCCTCAGAACAACCTGGTAGGATTATGATCCCACTTAGCAGGTGAGGAAACCGAGGCAAACAGAATGTGACCGGCTCACGATCACACAGCATATCTCAGCAAGAACCGCTGTCTGTGTTCTCATGGAGTCGCAGGGGCTAGGCCTGTAGGACTCGAGGCTGTGGGAGCCCAGCGTGGGATGTCAGGGCTGGGGAAAGAGGCACTTGGGGGCTGGGTTTTGAAAGATGAATAAGAGTTTCCCAGGTAGAACGTGAAAACAGGGAGAGGAATGAACCAGCTGGGGCCAGATGGAGGTGGCGGGGGGCGTGAGGTGCCCAGAGGTGGGGCCCCGGGGACATACCCGCTGGAGGATGTGCTGGGTAGCGTTCTCCTCATGCCGGTGCTGGCTGGATTTAGGTCATATGCCAGGTGTCCCTGCAGCTCCCCCAGGGAGAAGTTGGGTCCTGTTCCAGTCACCACAGGTGCTGCGGAGGGCGACAGAGAGGAGGATGAGGGAGGAACAAGGTCCAGGGCTGCACTTTGCCCTGGAGGGGTGGGGAGAGCCATCTGGGGGCTGGCAGAACGAAAAGGAACCGCTTCCCAGATTGGCCTGATTCCTAATTTGGCTGAAACTGGCCTTACACGATGGGTCAGAAGAACAAGGCCATTGAGAGAGGCCAGGGTCACACTGTGAGGCAGAAACATAGACAAAGCTGGAGGCCAAGCTTCCCAGAACTCTCAGAGGCCAGGCTCTGCTGATCTGGATGGGGAGGGCAAGGGTTAGGGTTAAGGCAGGATAGTGCCCAGAGGTCCCTGGGGTAGGATTCAAATGGGGGTGTCTGGGGATGGGGGTGGGTCCCCAGCAGGTCCATAGGTAAGGCAGGAGGACAAGAGGTGAAATAGGTCGGGGGGGGGGCCTCTGGGGTCTCCTGGGTGGGGGTGAGGGAGGTCCCAGGAATGGGGGATACTGGGGCAGAAGGTTCTTTAGCCCTTCCACCCAGCATCTGGAGTCTTTTCTGGGGAAGAGCATGTCACTCTGACCTTGGACTCTGGGAAAGGCCTGGATACCGCCCTTCCTAGGGACTTAGGCTTGGTGACAAGGGTGGCTGGAGAGGACATGGGGGAGGGGGGCAGGGTGATGGGCTCCTTCCTCCTCCTTCCCCGAGTCCCTTTCCCTCTTAGAGCCCCCATCCCGAAGCCACTTCTCCTTTCCAACAGTCCTCCCCTGTGTGAGCCTACCCCCCCACCTCGGGTCCCAGCACAGGGTGGGCGGGGACACTTACTCCGGGACACTTGGATGAGCTCAGTGACGCTGAACACACCGGAGGTGACAAAGCTCTCCTGAAAGTCGGTGGTGTCTGGAACAGAGAGGAAGGATGGGGGTCAGCAGGCAGCCAGCTGAGCTGGGTCTGTTCCCCCCCTTGACACCTCCAGGCTTCCCAGACTCCGGGGCTGGACCCAGCCTGGCCAGTCACCCTGTCTACCCCCCTCCCCAACCACCACAGCCCTGCAGCAGGAGGATGGCCAGCTCAGCCCCTCCAAGCCGACGGGGACTCCTCTGCCCTAACACAGCCGGAGCGGATCTCCTTTCCTGAGTCTCTGCTCAGTCCTCCTCACTGCAGCCTCAGCCAGCCTCCCCTTCTCCAGCCTGGGCCTTCACACTGCCTCCCAGCCCTCCTCGGGAGCCCCCGTGCTGTGGCAGGCTGCACACACAAGTGGAGGCCAGACCTGGGCTCACATCTCAGCTCAGCTGCCCACTCGGCGTGTGATCTTGGATAAGTCACTTTACCTCCCTGAGCTTTGATGCTCCCTGATCTCAAAAGTGGGGACCATACACCCTGTCATCTCGGGTGGTTGTGAGCTATGAATGCTACTACCTAGGAGGGACCAGGTTGCTTCCTTTGCCTCACTCATCACCCCATGCAATGCTGCAGTCTCTTAGCCTTCTGCCTCCAGGCTGTGAGCTCTGTGGTGTCCCCAGTGCCCGGACCAGAGCCTGGCAAATGGCAGGGGCTCAGAACCATGGGGTGAATGGAGGGTCCACAGGCAGCAGTTAAAATCCCCAGTGTGCCCGGACCCATTCCTGCCTAATGTCAAAGGAAGAGGGACCTCCTCTCTGGGCTGGGGTGGTTTAGACCCATTTCATGGATCTGGAAACTGAGGCTGGCCTTGAGAGGGCGGGAGCACCCAAGACAGCTGGGAGCAGGCCTGTCACACCCGGAGACCCTCACAGGCAGGACCCATTACCAGGCACCTCCAGTGTCCGCCCCCTGAGCTGGGCACTGGGGACACAGTGGGGAACAAGACGTACAGGAGCAGCTGCCCTCTTGGACTCACACCCAGGGTGGGCGAAGGACGCCACATAAAAGCAGGAAGTCAAAAACACTTGTACATGAATGTTCACAGCAGCATGATTTACAATAGCTGAAATTGGAGACAACCCAAATGTCCATCAACCATGATGGTTACAGAAAATGTGGTCCCTCCACACACGGGGACGTCACTCAGCCGTGAAAAGAGGTGAAGCCCTGACACTCGCTACAACGTGGATGGACCCTGAGAACATGAGAGAAGTGAGAGAAGCCAGACACAGAAGGATACACTGTGTGATTCCATTGATGGGAAACATCCAGAACAGGCAAATCCACTGAGACAGAGAGTGGGTTCCTGGTCACTCGGGGAGGGGGAGTGACTAATGGAGATGTGGGTTGATGAGAATGTTCTGGAACTAGACAGAGGTGATGGGTGCACAGCTCTGTGAATGTACTTAATGTCACTGAACGGTACATTTTAATAGGGTTAAAATTCTACATTTTATGTATGTTGTACCACAATTTAAAAAGAAAGTTATTAAAGATGATTCAGTTAAATTTGAGATGTGTCAGGCAGTGGTGAGGCAGTCAAGGTCGGGAGAGCCTGCTGGGGAGGGGACCTATTTTACACGAAGGGCTCAGAGAAGGCTTCCCTGGGAGGGTGACATTCAACCAAGATCTCAAGGTAAGGGTGGATAAGGCGAACACGTGAGTTAAAATTTGGGTAGTGCCCCAGACAGCACCTGGCACAGGGAAACTGCCTTGCGAGAACTGGCTGCCCCGATGAGGATGATATTAAACTTGACGTTTTGCCACCTCCCTGTGGGTTACGATGTTCCTGGCAGCGGGAATGGCTTGTGCAAAGGGCCTGGGGTTGGGATGCACTTGGCAAATCAGAGGCCAACAGGGCTGCAGTTGAAGGAGCCAGAGAGAGTGGTCAGAGTGGAGGTGGGACCCACAGAATGGCAGCTCTTGGCTTTGGGGGAGGGGGGTGGGAGCAGTTCTTGTCCAGGCCCCCAGGGGGCAGCAGTGGCCGCAGGGAGCTCACAGCAGTGCCCAGCTCCTCAGCTGTCTGCCACCCAAGCCCCCTGCTTATGAGCTTTGTGTCCACCATTCATTGAGCAATTACTACCTGCCCAGGCCCATGATGGGAGGCTCAGGACCACAACATCCCGAGGAGGACAGGGCGGTGGCTCCCAGTGTCCAGGGGGAAGTGGCCATAGCCACTTCCTGGTGACCCAGCTGGCCGACTG